GTTGGTAAAAATCTAAGAATCTTTCTAACTTGATCACCGCTTGAGTATGGTTTGTCGAAAGCCTTTAAGTCGCTAATGATTTACTGAATCTGGCAAACATTTCCTCAATGGATTCTCATTCTTTCATCTGGAAGAGTTCATAATCGTGAACCAGCATGTTGATATGTGTTTCCTTCACTTTGTTGGTTCCCTCGTATGTAACTTCAAGCTTATCCCTCATTTCTTTGGTTGTATCACAGCTAGAGATTTTCTCATATTCTTCACCACTTATAGCATTGTAGAGTAAATTTCTTGCTTTGTTGTTGACTTGCACAATTGTCATTTGCTCATCTGTATATGAATCTATATCTTTAGGATCAGCAAGAGGTTGAGCAGCAGCCGGCAGAGGATAATTTCCCTTTTTGATGACTCTCCACACTTTAACATCATATGCCTTAGCATATATTTCCATATGTACTTTCCAGTGGGAGAAATGTTGTCCATTGAAATATGGTGGCCTTACTTGGAAAGTACCTTCTTGAAAGAGTGCTCCCGTGATAACTTGATTAGCCATGATCATTTCTCACAAACTGTTAAGCAAAAAAAAAGTGTGACCCAAGCTCTGATACCAATTGAAAGTACAAGAAGGGGGTGAATTATTTATTTTTAATTTTAATAGGTAATAGTTGACTAGTTATACGATTAGTCGGCTGGATGTAAGAACTTGATACTGGAAAGGACAGAAATTAAGATGCAGAATTTAAATGCAGGAATTAAAGACACCAAAGTTTTTATACTAGTTCGGATTCAATGTGAATCCTAGTCCATTCCCCTTGGGTTGCAAGGAAGTTCTTTTTCGTGAATGAGTTTCTTCAAGAGTATAGAGAAAGGTGTGATCTACACCGATCGCTTAGAGGCTACTTTACTCGTTTCTTTTTTATACAATGCCTCACCAGTGTTGTTCTCTCTTTCTTATTTAACTTGTTACACATCAGATTTAGTAGAGCTACAATATTTGTTTGTAATAGAATAAAGAGAGGGTATTTGGTTTGATCAAAGTATGTATGTCTAAGGCTTGATGCTGAGTATAAATACTTTGGTGAAGGCCGTTTGCTAAAGAGATTTGACAACCCAAGAGATTTGATCCTTGGAAAGATATTGATTCTTTCCAAGAATAAGGTTATTTTCCATTGCTCTTCCTTGATGAGAGGGCATTGGTAGCTTTCCTTCTATAGATCTTGATGATGCGGGTTTACTCCTTAATTGTTGGTCCTTCCGAAAATAGCAGCTTGATTAATCATCTTACAAGATCTTCGATGCTTCTTTTCCGCTTCAATCTTCCGGATTGAATGTGCTGGACTTGATTGATGCCTTAAGTTTAGGTTTGATTGATTCCTTTCATCATAGCTGCCCATTGATTTCGTGATCTTTGCTAGCCTCGGATTGCTTTCCTTAAGTTTCCTGATTTATTTCTTCCTTCTTGTAGTAACTCCTTGATTCCTTGATCTTCTCTAATTGATTCCTTCAATCTTTGAATTGTTATCCATAATTTCCTGCACAGATATATTATTTGCATCATTAAAATCAGATCTAATAGGGCCTTCTTCATCCCCACAGGAACAAGTTGGGTCATCCTCATCCCCACGGGAACAAGTGGTCGCGGGTGCAGGTTCATCTGCAGTCAGACGGAGTACACGGATGACAGCCTTAGAATAGGAAATGGCAGGGTTGCGCGCTTCAGTCACGGAATTGGGGACTAGAGTTGATGCTTTAGCCACCTAAAATGCGAAGTTGGAGAAAAAAATAATGGGTTGGTTGCGTGCGTTGGGAAGGGCGTGCCATCTCGACCCCGGCACTATCTCCGATTAAGACTGATCTTCCAAGGAAGTTCCTTTACCTTGCATTACTTTATTTTGTATGACATGGGGACATGCCATCATTTTAAGTGTGGGATGGGGGATACTTTTTTGGTTTGTTGTATGTAGAATTTCGTAGTTTATTTACATAAATCATTTTCAACTTGTCCCGACGATGGATATCATTTGACTGGTTTCTTGAGGGACTAAAGTTGAAGAAGGAAAAGAAACACAAAAAGATTTTCTTTTGTAGTAATGTATCAATTCCCCTTGGTTTTTCTTTAAGCCACGGTTCTTTTTCAAAGGTTTCATTTGAACCGGGTATAGTTAAATTTTTTTGTTGTTAGTAGGAACCTGTGGGCTATGGGAGGAAATAGGCATAGGATCTCTTAACGTCGGAATGCCTTGATTATAGCGGGTACTTTCGTGTGATGCTTAGGCTCAGTTGTCGACTCTTGTTAGAATGCCTTAAACTGTATGTTCTTAATTTGGCTTAAGTACCTTGATCAGAGTGTTTGATGACCCAATCTGGAGTGAGTCATGTGCCATGTGTGTGTGATGCTTGTTGTATTCTGTGTACGACATTTGATGCCTAGAACTTGCTTTGTGTGTCTGCAAAGTGAAATAGTAATCTTGTTTAGTCTGGGAAGTGATATAGGTATTTCTTTGTTGAACCATATATATACTTCATCCACCCATTTGTTATGTATCATAGTTAACCCCATTGAGCATGTAATCCTATTTCTTTGGCAACCACACTACAAGCCTTAACTATTTGTTTGAATTAACCATCTTTTTGAACTTTTTCACCTCTCATGAGCACTTGAATTGTATGAACTTTGTAAAAGTTAAAGTGTAGGGTGGTTGGTTTGGTTGTTGAGTGGAACTAATGAGATAAGGAGAAAAGTGCATTGTTTTAAAAAAGTAAGAGCGACTTGAATTTTAAAAAAAAAAGTATATATATATATATATATATATAGTTGAATTGTTGTGAAAAGTATTCCTTAATAAGTGGTGGCTCTTAATGTAATTATGCTTAAAGAAGAATGGAGTTAATATATAGTGATGTGAAGGTGGAGTCATGGTTTGACATAAGTGTGAGGTTTTAGATGTTAACGTACATGTATTAAAGTGCTTAAGGAGGTGTAGCCACTCATATATCTAAATGTATCATACCCGTCCCGCAGCCTACATTACAACCAAATAAAGCCCTACTTGATCCTACACTGAATAAGCTCGATTAGTAGAGTAGTACACTACGGGCAAGCCTATGGCTCATCTTTTGTGGCATATGAATGTCATTTCTGAGGGTGAGTGAATTCTGTTTATATTGAAGTTCCTCAGTGTGTGTGCATGTTATTGATTGTGGAATGAGTCTCTTTTGTTGTGAGCAGGCACTTGATTTATGAAGGAAAGGTAAATAAGCCGGTTAGGAATATTATGTGGCTCGAGGGAGTCAACTCTTGAGGTATGGATGTTACACTAATGTACTCAATCTATGAGGAATATTCTTGGTGTGACGAGTTAGGGAAGTCGCTCAGGGAAGTTAGGCCTCTGTAGAGTGTGGTTTGATTGCTCGAGGACAAGCAAAGATTTAAGTGTGGGGTATTGATAGTAGACGATAATTACGCAATTTAGATACTATTTACACTCTAATTTGGCCGCACTTTATCAATATTTGAATGTAAAAGATAACAAAATGCTCTAATTAAAAGTTTTACGTTTTGCAGGAGCCACTCCGAGCTAGGAGGAAGCTAAAGAGTGTTTTGGAGTCAATATGGAGCGTGGAAGGCCAATTGGAGGATAGCACGGTTGAAAAGGAGAAAGAAGAGCAAGTTCCAATTCCACGGTCAGATCCCCTCCCGCGGACAGAACAATTGTCAAATCCGCGGTCAGGTCCGCGATCCAATCCGCGGCCACGGACGGACTGACGGGAGCCAAGAAGCCAGGGTTAAATATATAATTTCCAGGGCAACTAACCTAAACCTATATGAAGCCTAATTCGTCCTAAAGAGAAGGAGAGTTGTTTTTAGAGAGATTTTGAAGGCAAGAACACGTAAGAAAGACAGAGAATTTTCCTTAGAGTTTTATTCTTCTTCTTTTTAATTCTATTGATGATTATGACTTTATTTAGTGAATTTTTATCTCTTAGTATGAGTAGCTAAACCCATCATCTAGGGTTGATGGAACCAATTGTTGGATGAAGTGTTGATTATGTTTTGATATAATTGAGCCATTTTCACTCTATGATTGTTCAACTACGTATCGTCTTGTGATTAATTGAAAAGGCTCTTGATTAATCGTGTTTAGTTATCTTGTATTGCTTGAGAAAGAGCACTTGGTTAGATTGTTGTTGAACAATACCACTTTCGGGTAAGTTAAGAGATTAATTACTTGAATTTAAAAGCAGGGTTAGAGATAACGAAGCTTTGGTGGGATAATTCCGAGTTGCATAAATTGTTAGCTAGAGTAGTTCGAGAGAATGCTTCTAGTAAATTATCGTAATTGATCGAGAGATAGTTACGGTAACCCAGAACTCATATTTCTTATAGAGTGTTACGGCGAGATTATAGCTAACGTGTCAGGAATTAATCCGACAATTGGGGAAATCAATAACCCTAGACCATTTTACCATTGAATTCAACCCTATTTTTAATTATTGCTAGTTTTATTGCTATTTTTCTTTAGTTAACTAAATTCTACTCATTATCCATCAAAAATCTTACATCCGGAAATTGTTTGAGCTTATCATTAGCAGTGGTAAAAGTTGTAGTAAATAGGTTAGTTCCCTATGGGATTCGATTCCGGACTGAACCGGATTATATATTTGCAGTGACCGCTGAATCCTTTTTATAAGACATAGTTGGGCGTGATCATGAACAAACAAATAATCGTCCATCTCGCAACAACACTGTAGAAGAATAACATTCTGAAATTTCATGTTCTTAAGTTAGGTTCTATAGTGCTTCAAATTGCATATAAAACCTGCATATGTTACTCTAAAAGTGACTTGATTGATATTTGACAAGTAGCATAAACCAGGTGCAAATTATCTGAACTCATAGTACAAACATACTGTTTCAGTGATTCACAACATGCTGCAGGTTTAAGGCCATTTGACAATTAAAAGCCACTCTGATTACAACATATACACATGTGATAACATTATGAAGAAAATGAAGAAGAAGCAGTTTCTCTCAAATGCACGTTGGTAGGCCATTGACCACGGACACCACCTTGTTCCTCCTCATCTATAAATATTATCAAATCATCGGTCCTCCTAAGAGCTCCATGAGCCACCACTATCGCCACCCCAACAGCTATCCCTGATACCACGTTCATAGTTGATATTGAAATCAACAAGACCATTGTAAATATAGACAAGACGGCCAAAACCACACGTTCATCCACAATGTACCCGAATACTACCAAAGGGTTATCGCGGAGGAAATAAAGAAAGAGCCATGCAGCCAACGTGATGAGGAATACGACGAGAGAAACTGGGTGCCACAAGAGGCTTAAGAATATAACGAAAAGGATGATGATCAAGTAGTTCATGTGGAAGTAGGATGAATTGGTTTTGATACGTAAAAGGGCATCGCCGGAGCTTTCAGGGAGAGAGAAAGAGAGCATTTCCTTCCAGGGGCGGCGCGTGCCTAGCAGGAGACCGCCTGATGATCTCATCATCCCCATGTCGTCCGATGATGTTGTAATTGTGGGTATTGTCCCATATGTTGTCATTTTCCTTGGAGATTTTCTTCTCAGAGAGAAAATCTCAAAGGGAAAATG